TCCAAGTCAAGAGAAGCGCAAAACACCTTTTGGAAAGAGCCGCTAATAAACCTTCCTGCGCGGCCCTAGGGGTAAGGAGGGTGAGCCCTACCTTCGCGTCTGGCTCCCTGAGGAAATCCCGCAGGTTTCCACGGAGGAGATCCCGCACCTCCAAGTGTCTGTTCAAACAGAGGCTTAGCCAAACTCCTGGCGAGAGCTCCCTCCCCTCCCTGGGAGGGTGCCGGAACCCTTGAATGGCAGATCTGGTGGCCCTATTGTGGAAAAGAGAGGGCTATTGCCAGGGCGGCGTCAGCAGCACGCCGGGAGCCGAGCCCCGCCGGGCCGCCAGCCCCGCAGCACCGGGAGGGAAGGGTCGACTCTGCCGTGCAGCTCCCCGAAGTTCGCTTTGCTTACTCGCCCTCCTGGCTCCGCTTGCCGGCTTCTGCTTCCTGATGCCAGCTTGGGTCCCTTCCCTCCTTCCCCTCTTCCCGACTCGCGCCTTCCTCTCGCTCACTTCTCCCCTTTATACCCCCTCTTTGCCCCCCGCGGCGATCAGGGCAGCAGCATCTCCCCACCCCAGCGGAGAGAGGTACAGGGGGAGCCCGCGTACAACCCGCAGGCGCCCTTATCCACGGGGAAGGAGCCGAGAGCCGAGACCAGAGCTGGGGGGAGAGGGAAGGGAAGGCAGGACCGAATGGCCACCGCAGCGCAGGATGCCCTTCTCCAAGTTCTCTGCACCCCTGGCCCGCGAGGGGCAGCGACGGCAGTGCCCTCCTTGCAGAGCGGTTCCTGCGGAGATGCTCAGCCTGGCGGCCCGCATCCCGGTGCGGGGGCACGGTATCGCCCCCTGCGGAAAGCCCCGCAAGAATCCCAAAGGGAGCACACGGACCCTGTAACCCCGTTCCGCTTAGGGCGCGGCGCTGCTGCGGGAGCCGGGGGAGGGGGCAGATGCCGCAGAGCCCTTGATCATCGGCGGGGGCTCCGTGCGGCGCCGCGGGAAGCCCCGAGTGCCTGGCAGCGAGCGGTCCCTCGCGGGAGGCGGAGAGGGACCTCCAGCGAGCTCGTTCCTGCCGTGCCTGCAGCTTACATTACATCGGGGAGGAGGAGGAGGAGAAATGCATTAAAAGTGTCAATTGAAAAGAGCATGCAGCGAGCCTCTGATTCCTACAACAGTGGCTTTCTACACTTCTAATAATAAAAGTGCACTTACGGCTGCACTTTTTATTTTCTCCCTAAATAAAAGAAATGGTTGTTATTTGCATAACGCGGCACTTAAAGAATTTCCTCTATTAGAGAAAGCCCGTTTCCTTTCTCCTGTTTCCTTTGAGCAAATATCCCCATCACATTCGCCTTCACTCCACAAAGGATTTTATTCCAGCCCGTATTTCTAGACAGCAATATACGTATACATTTCTGTGTGTATATGGGTATGTGCATACATATGCTTCAAGACAAATAACTTACTTCAGCTCCACGCAATAGAAATAGCAAGTCAGATTACTACAGCACATAAATCATTCGAAAGCTTTTTTCCCTCCTAAGCCAAGATATATAACCTCTTCTGAGGACTAGATGATCCTGAAGGTCTCTTCCAACCTTGGTAATTCTACGATTCTATGGCTTTTATTTAAGAATTCGGCTTTAATTACCCGTGCCGGTTTGCGGAATAACCCGTACCCCTATTCGCGACAGGGAACGCGAGGGAAGCCGTGCGAGGCCGCCGGCCCGCCGCAGCGAACAGGCAGGGGGCTTCGGGCAGGGGCGTGAGGAGCCCTGCCGGGTACCCCATAGGGTCCGGTCGGCAGCCACCGCTGCGAGAAGGCCGCAGAGAGCCCGGCCGGGAGCCAGGGCCGCCCAGTGCCACTGTCCCTGCCAGCAGCCGGGCTGGAAGCGCTCCGACGATTGCCGTCGGTGTCCTTCGCGCATTTACGGACGCAGCTCGCCCTTTGCCTATATTTATCCGTACAATGCAGTGGAAGGGCTTAGATCTAGAAATAGAAGCCGAGAGCTATAGATGGCAGGCTCGGGCTTTTTATAACTCAAAAATACTTGTTTATTAAAGACATAAAATTAAACAACAACAACAAAAAGGACTGGACACCCTGTCTGGCAGGCTCGCAGGGTGCGTGCCATGCCCGCCGTGTCCCGCCGGCCCGTCCTCTGCCTCAGTGCCCGGCCGCTCCACTGTGGGCTCTCCCGGGGCCTCTACCAGGGCCGAGGGGAAAGGCGGAGGCGAGAGTTCCGGGGCCGCACTGCGGGGTGCAGCGCCCCCAGGGAATGGCGAGACCGGCCCGGGCCACGGGCTCGCCGCATCGCCGGGAGTGGGGGAAGCCGGCCGTCTGAGCACGTCCGGCAGGAGAGCCTGCCTGTTGGTCGGCCTCGGTTTGCATTTTGTTTGTTTTAGTTTTTTTTTTTTCCTCTTCTTTTGGGATTTTGTTTTTCAAATTGAGGGATTTACGGTCACGGCATCCCACCACTCCAGCATCCTGCTCAGGCCCGGGCAACAGGGAACGCGAGGAGCCAATAGTCCCCGCCGCCGTCGCCGCGCTCCTTTCCCTCTACACAACGCACACGGCAGTACCAGCACCGAAGCTGCCGCAGGGTCTCGGCGGAAGGCAGCGGGGTAATCGTCTGCTCCCCGGCTTCCCGAGCAAACCCCTCTGGTAGCTCTCCTCACCCGCCGTGTCCCGCCTGCGCCCCGGATGGACACGCTTGTGCCCGCTGCACACAACGAGGGCGGCTTTCTCTTCTCGCGCGCTCATCCACGCCGAGATTGTTTACCCGCACTCGGAGGTTTCCCAGTCCCTTTAGCCCGTCGCGGGATTGCCAGGGCACAGCCCTTGTGCCCGGCACGGTGTGTCTCGCCGTCTGGGAAAAGGCGGAGAGGCGCCTAGAGGTGTTGCAGCGGCTCTGCGAAACCCCGGTCTGGCTGTTATTAGCAAGTCTCTCTCTTTAACCATTAAGCACTATTATTATCATTATTGCTATTAATTATCCTCACCGAACCATGTGTCTCTCATTACAGCCCACCGTCCCTAGCCACATCACAAGGGGCTCGCAAAGAGCGCGGTCTGGGCCAGTCCGGGCCACTCGCTGCCGCTGTGGTGCTCCCACTGAAGGAGAGCGCGGAGGCTCGCTTGAAAATAAATCAGGGGAACCCCGGCGGTGTTAAGGAGGGTAATAAACTCGTGTGATTCTACTGGGAATTGTAATGTGGCATCACAGGCTATGCCGGCGCCCTGGGCTTTGCCAACCTACAAAAACAAGAGAGCCGGTTAGCAGAGAGGATGGCAGGACGGTAGGGAAGGCACGGGGTCTCCACTGCGCTCCCACTCCCAGAGCAAGCGAAGACCGCGAATTCCCCCGGGCCGCAACTCCGCGGGGCTCCCTAGTCCCATCGTGTCCTTCCCCGTGAAGCCCCACTCAAGAAGGCCTCCACGGATGAGGCCTCGACGCCAGTGTAGGTTGTCCACCAACGGGGAAAGGACAGGGGAAGAGAGGGAGCGTGGAAGAAGGAAAAAGCTCCAATCATGGCCAGAACAAACGTGAAAGCAGCCCTCAAACAGAGCCATACCACTGAGCGGCCCAGTGGGGAGATACCCGCTGGAGGAGGGTTGCGGGCAAAGACCCGTGCGGGCCAGGGCAAGAAGCAGAGCACGGCCGCAGCTCGGGATCGACCCCTGCCCGTCCAGGCGCACCGTAGACAGGCTGTGCCCGTGGCTCCCGAGCACGGCTGTATGGCGAGGACTCCCCGTGAAGGGAAATCACCTGTGCGGGGAGGAACTGGGGCTGTGGACCTGGATCCGGGGACACCTCAGATGCAAGCAGGGCGTGATGGACGGCGCCCCAACGCGAGCCGGCACGCAGCGGAGATGGATAAAGGCATGGCGCCTCCACCACCTTTTGAGTCTAGAGATGGGGGGGGAAAAAGGTTAGTAAAGAGGGAAAAGAGTGCTAAAATAACGGCGAGAGTATAGAAGTGGGATTGCCGGCCTGATCCGGAGCTCTCCTGGCTACCCTGCGCCCTCACTCCGTAGACACCGTCCGTTTTAGGGTCTCCCTGGAGACACGGTCCTATCGCTGTCCCTGCCGGTTGGGGACACAGTGTACTGACTCATGCAGGATGGGGACCACCTCAGAGGCGACGCGCTCAATCTAGGCCGGGACAGTCCCTCTTCGCCCACACAGAGATCACAGTAAGGAAGAGGAATTTCATTTCCACTTTCTCTTGCTAGGAAAACTGATTGGGGGGTTTATTTGTTTCGTTGTTGAATTTCTGTTTGTTTTTAGGGGATGTTGTTTGTTTGTTTTCCTTTTTCCTAACCTCCCAGATACAGCAGAGACCTCCCGAAAAAACCTTTTAAAGCCATGCTCGGAAACGCCACGAGAAGCGCCCCCGTTCCCGGCTGTCCTGTGAGCGCCAGCGCGAGGGAGTGTCTTAATTGCCGCTAATGACCCGCAGAGAGGATGCGAGGGAGTTATCTGCAGCCGGGCAGAAATCAATTAGAGGAGTGGCAATTAGGGGAGAAAGTGAGAGACGGGAGAGACGTTACAGCGAAAAGTGAAAATTTCAGTGAAGTTTTCCAGAAATTCTTCCTGTGGAAAAGGGTCCCCGCGGAGAGTACACTGCGCAGCCCGGCGCTCCGCTCTTTCTTTCTCTCCCAGTTTCTGCGGAGTTCCCCGCACTACTCAAGAACTAACGGTTTGCGGGAGCGCATCGGCCCCGTTCCGAAATTACGATTAAGATTACCGCAAAGCAGGACACGGCGGGAAAGGCGGCTTCCCGCGGGCGTCGCGGGCTCCAGACCCGTCTGGGAATGAAGATACTCATGGGGCATGGCGGCACCCGCTGCAGCGGGAGGGGGCTGCGCGCCGGAGCCGGACAAGGTCTCCTTGACCCCGGTAGGATTTGCTCTGCCGGGCAGCCACCCCCCCACATCCCCGAGAGGCCCTTTCCAGGCCCGTGAGTATCTCTCCGGTTTCGCCTCCAATGTTTCCCCCGCCGCACGCCAAGGACTCACCGTAACAGGAGACCTGCAGAGTTCCGTTGTGGTTGCTGCTCTCTTGCAGCTTGATGTTGCTGTCCGGGGGGGTTTTGCAGGGGCCTCGCTGCATGTAGAGGTGCGGCGGCTGTTGCTGCGGAGGGTATTTGTTAAAGGAGGCCGGAGCCCCGGCGGAGCCGGCAGCCTGCACACTGCCATCCAGGGACTGACATTCCTGCTGGCTGTAGCGGCTTCGGCACTTAGTGCTGCTGTCACCAAAGCCTTGTCCTTTGCTGGCCAGGAAAGTAGGGCTGAACTTGTCACTTGCTTGAAATGCCCTAAAAGGCGAGGAGCCTTCTGTGTCCTGGGAGGCTGCGTTGTAGTAGGAATCCATGGCAGCCGGATCACAATAAGAAACACAAGTATCAGCATTCATTCCTAAAATTAAAAGGCCCGAGTGTCCTTAATGCGCTTGGAGGGGCACCAGGAACCACTCTTTCTCTCTCCCTCTCTCATAGACACACACTCACAGCTGGGCCGGGGAGCTCTAAGAGAATTCAGATGTTCGTGAAAGCTGACCAGAACTCCAAACCCCCTTAAGATCTCGCACAGTAAAAGGGGTCTTTTTCTTTCCCTCCCTCTCTCTCTCTCGCACACACACGCTTGCCTTCCGTCTCTCCCTCTAAACTACACTTTAAAGAGGCTCTTCTCCGCACTTTCCCCCCCACAATAGGAAAGAAAAAAAAAAAAAAAAAAAGAAAGAGAGAGAGAGACCTCTCCCCCAATTAATATGTAGATGATGACAGTGGAGGGGAGGGGGCCCAGGAAGGGGTGTGTGTGAGTGTGTGTGTTTATGGGGGTGTGTGGAAGCAGAGGGGGGGTGGAGGTCATATCTTTTGCATAAAAAAAAAAAATTAAAAAATAAACCAACCGAAAAAAACACCCAAAACCAGCCCCAGAAGTTTTTATGATTAAAAAAACAGAAAATGAAGCAGATGACATGAACACCACGAAGGGATGGGTGCGGGATCCGCGCAGGCAGAAGCGCCGGGGACGATTTAATGGTCGTGACACGCTCCGTTCGCTCCGGCCCTCTTCCCTGCTCACTTCCCCAGCTGCGGGGACCCTCGCCCCTGCGACCCCCTCCTCTGTATTAAAGGCAATACGGATTTCCCCTGCAGCTATATGCCTTTAAGCCTCCCCCCCACCCCTCATCGCATTAACCCCTTCAGGGACGACAGCTCTTCCAGCGCTGCCGTGAGGCGGTGCCGCGGTCGTCCCGCACATCGCCGGGCGAGCTCTCCATCGCGTCTCGGCGCACGTTTATGATGGTCATGATTTATTTACCTCTAAAAACGTGCTCTCTCCAGGTGTAAAACAACTGGATCCAAACGGGAGGGCAGCAGGGAGGGATTTTAACAGGGTCACCAAGCACACGAAATTGCACCAGGCTTCTGGGATTGCCAGAGGTGACTTGCAAAAGGACAGAGGCTGACAGGAACCCTTTTTGGTTTGAGGGGTCAATTGCAAACCAAAAAGGGCTTAAAATAAATCAATACTCACCTTTCGTCGTCCGTCTCCCCCCACCCCTCCGCCATTCAACCTGATTCCCCTCCTCCCCCAATTAACTCCTACTACCCCTTCACTTACTTTTACCCTGCCTTCCTCCCATCCCCACATCTGGTTTCTATTGCTCACTTACCTTGAAGTTTTCAGTAATAAAGATATTACGCAAACTAAATGCACAGTTCTTCGGTCAAGAAGAAAAAAAAAAAAAAAAGAAAAGAAAAAGTGAAATAAAAGGAGAGAAAATTAAGTAAATAAAAAAGAGAAACAGAAAGGGAAGAAAAGAAGATCCTTAACCCCTTCGAGAGCGCGGGTCGTGACGAAGCCGGCTGCGGGCGGGGAACGGGGGCACCGTCGGCTGCTCTGGGCTTCCAGCGGGCTCCCCCCAGGGTTCGGCCCATGTGTCTTCCCTTCTTCCGCGCAGCTTCCTCCACCCCGTGCAGAGAGGGGGGGGACTCGTGGCTTTCATCTGTGTGTGTGTATCTGGGGGAGCGGGGGGGGAGCGGGGCGGCAGAACGGGGATACGACCCCCAAGACGACTGCTCGGGAGGGGCCCGTGGACGCCGCCACCCTCCAGGCCTTTGCTCCACGAGCAAGGCCAGCACTACCGTTTTCATTAGTTCAGATGTGACAATAGGCACCCACCCCTTGCACCAAGATGCAGAAGGGATTTCTAGCGACGTCGTCGTTAAAAACAGCCAGAGACGGTTTCATTTACGAGATTTCAAACCATTTTGCAAGTCTCCCTCAGAGCAGCACTGGGCTCGCTCAGTTTTCTCGTCCAAGAAAGCTTTCAGAGGATTTGCCTTCCTTATTCTCTTTTATTACCTTACTTAATTCTTTTCTCGTCTTTTCTGTCTCCCTTCCCAAACTCCCCCAACCCACCGCAGCCCCCTCTCTTTCCCTTGTCCGCCACATAATGAAAACCAAACCAACTCAATGCAAAAGAGTCTTTCTAAAAACCACTTCGGGGTGGCCAAGGGGGCCGGGGCATTGTCGGTACCGGCAGCCTTCGAGCGGCTCCGCCGAAGGGCAACTGCTCTGGGTACCGGCAGCACTCCAATTCCCGCATCTCCGGCTCCGCCACATCGGACTCGCAGCCGTTCTCACGGAGGAGGGGCGCATTAAATACTTGTTTTCCAGTTCTTTCCCCCACGATTGTTTCGGAGAACGAAAGAAATTCTGTGAGGGCGATCCTCGATGCTACGGCGTTATATTCGGCCTCGGGATTTCTCTTCGGCAAAGTTAAATAACGGCAAAAGCAAAATCTAAAGACAGAGATTTGGGGATGGGGCAGGAGATTATATATATATATATATACACATACACACAAATATATATATATATATATATATAATTTTTATTTGAAAGGGTTGCAATGCAGTGGCTCGCAGAGGCAGTGCGGCATGGCCGAGTCGAAGGAGGGCTACTCAGGATTCCTTCGTTCAGAGCGCTCCACCAGCCTCTCCTTGCATTAAACTGTAACGAAAAGTCTATTAATTCGATATCAGGGCTAATCCGCAGCCCTTGGAAAGGACCGCAAGAAAACCCTCTCTCTAATGGCCAATTTTCCGTCCCTGGAAGCGGGAGGTTAATTCGGGAACCGTTACCGGGGAACAGGGTGCGCGCAAATACCTGGCGATCTAGCGGGGGTGGGAGGGAATAACGGGGTAATCACTTTTCTTGGTGGTTTTCGTTTAGCTGGATTGGGTTTTGCGTGCAGTTCTCTCAGCAAGTGTGACAGGGGATTCCCGCAGTCCCCGTTAGCCGGGAGCGGAGCCGTGCGAATACAGAAGCAAACAGGGAGCCTGTAGCCCCCTCCCGTTAAATGAGGCGGTGGGGCTCCTTGTCGCGGCGCTACCGGGACGGCGATGTCCCTCCGGCCGCGGGGCTTTGCCAGCCCGGTCTCCCCGCATTTCCGCCTGCGGGATCGAGGATCCACAGAGCAGGGACACAAAGGGACGAGCAACACTTAAGGCACGATATCACTTTTTTTTTTTTTTTTCCCGAGTGACCTCAAAACTGCCCTGTCCCTGCATCAAATGCGTCCAAAAGGGAAAGGCGAAAGGCCGGCTGAAACGTCTGCGCTCCGCAGAAACCCGCTGCCGATTCCATGTGAATATATGCTTTACACTGAGACCGTTTTCAGGTACGGTCGCTGCTGGTTTTGGAAGGGGTCAGTCGCGTGGGTCCCTTCTCACACAGAGCTTCGGGAGCCCATGTGAGAACCAACAGGTCCTGCCTGTACGGACGGCAGCTCACACCGAGCGAGTAATAAATTGCCGGGGGAATTATCGGAAATCTTCAGCGCCGGGCTATCCAGGTGTACCCTTCCGGCGACCCCCAAGAAAAGGGACAGCTCAGGACAGCCCTGCCTGGCTTGTTTTCGAGAAGCCGTTTCACTTCTGCAGAGGCAAGGGTGGGCGTCGCTCCCGGGTGAGGACCCGGTGCGAGGCGCAGGCGATAACAGGCGGATCCTACATCTCCACCTCTGAAAGAAAAACAAATCTTTATTCCTATGCGATTTAAACACTCAGGCTCGTGTCAAGTCCAGGGAAAAGGCAGAGGTTTTCGCACACCGGGCGCGGCAGCGCAGGGCTGCGGGGAGAGGGAACAGAGAGGGCTGCTGGGACAAACCCCACTGTCACAGGAGGCCGGGGAGAGGAGGCAGGAATGCTCTTCCCTGCTTTCCCAGTCACCTCCGAGGGAAACCCACCGTGTCCCCTCAAGCCTCCACCGTCCTCCCCACACTCCCGGTGGCTGCAGTCGGAGCAGAGACAGGATGGCTGAGGAGAGTCCCGACAGGACTCCGGGGTGCCGGCTCCAGAACCCCAGGTCCTGCTCCCTTCCTCAGAGAGGTGGGAGAGTAAATATCTCGGTTCAGGGAGCGGGGTCACTGGAGAGGGAAATAGAGAGAAGGGGGATTTTTCACACCGTTCCCTCCCGGCACTTTGGCAGAGCACTGCTCTTGGAAACTGCCTCGAGTTTGTTTCCCCAAAGGTTTGGTTTGTGTGGCCACTTCAGAGCAGCGGGCTCCTTTTGTACTGGACTGAGATCTGAAGGCGACCTATTTATAACACCACTGCAAGGAGGGAGAGAGGAAAAAGTATTCGCGCTAATCTCCCTTTTTTTTTTTTTTTTCCCGGCAACGATGGTTGCATCTTTTTTTCGGGCGTGGAGCTTGCCTAGCGACCGTCCCGACCGTACCTGCTGCCTTGCGCTCTTGGCTCCTGCCTTCCCCCGGGCACTGTCTGGGGCCTGAGCAGCGCTTGGCGGGGGCTTTGCTGTCCTGCCTTTTGCACCTTTCTTCGGGGATAAATGCCGATAAATGTTTGTTGTTACTAAAATACGTTCATCATGTCAAGAAGGTGTTGGCAGAGAAGTGGAGCTGACCAGCTCTTCTCTTCCCAGGGAAAGCGAAGGAGCAGGCTCCGAGACGACACAGGCTGGCCACCTACCTCCCCGGGCTTCTGCGGGCAAAGCTTTTCCATCCACCTCCTCCGAACAGCCCCCTGCTACTCCTACCACCACCTCAGTAAGGCGGAAGCGCCTGCTCCGCTTCCCGCAGGCTCTCACCCCTCAGTCCTTGCGCCTTTGGGCTGTGGCCCCGCAGCCGCGCTGCCCGCGGCTCCCCGTGGCCTCGCTGCGCAGCCCGTTCCGCCTTGCTGCGCCGGGGACGGTGTGTTCCATGCGGATCCATGTGTACATGGCCACCTGTCTGTGTACCTGGATGGTGTCACCAAAGCAGTCACCGAGGAACGGTGGGTGCGGGACCCGAGGGACCCAGGCTACCCTCCGTTGCCGGTCAGCGGACTGAGCGGCTCATGGTGGGGCCCCGGTGCCCGCTCTGGGTGGAGGCGGCCGGACGGAGGTCCCCAGCCCATTCCGTGCGGGGCACAAGGGACAGAGTCTGGAGGAGGCCAGAGTGACCAAGGCCTGCTCCTCTCGCACGGTCCCGAGGTTGGTAAGGTGCCGCAGGGCACTGCCTCGGGCTGCAAGGGCTTTCCAGCTGAGGTTTTTTGTTCTCTTATTTCTGGTAGGTTTTGTTGTTGTTGTTGTTTGATTGATTTAATTTTTTATATATAATTTTGTTTTCTTTTTCAGGCAAAGCCGTGCTCGCGTCAAGCTGCACCCGGTCCTGCACACAGACCCCGAAGCTGCCGCGGCCGGAGAAGGGCTGCTGGGCCCTCTCCAGTGGCCGAGGGCTGTGCCCTGAGCTGAGTCCGGGTGGGCAGTGGAGCCCAGGGTCTCCGGGGCAGCACAAACCCCTCGGTCCCGTCCTCCCCCACCGTCCCAGAAAAATATGGAAAATCACTGCTTCTGGCATCGTGCTCGCGGGGCCCCGCGTGACGCCACTGTGTGAGAACCAATGGGAAGACGGAGCAGGGGCGGCCCCCACGACCCCCGCACCTCACTTAGCTCCTCGCTCCATCTCGGAGCGCACCCCGCCGGCACAGTGCCCCGGGCCGTGCTGAGCCAGGTCGGGGAGGCTCGGCTCGGCGGCCTCCCTCGGAACCCCAGCCCGGGCTTAGGCAGTAGTGCTGGGCTGAGTTAAAGCTGTTCTGCGCACTTCACCTCGCTTCCAAGCACCCCCGGACGCGATCTGCGATGCAGGAGTGTCTGTATTTAATATGTCATCCCAGGCCTGAAATTTTTAGTGGCTGTCTGTAATTTCCTTCATGAGGGAAAAAATACACTTGCTATTAATTTGCTTAATACTTTCCTGTTGCGTGTGACCTCGCCACTACTGGCTCTGAAGTCAGGCGCTATTTTCGCTTGAGTCAGAAGCCCGGGCACAGAGCAGCTTCAGGGAAGGCGGGCGGCGGCGGTACGGCGGGCTGGCGGCCCTCCTGCCGAGGGCTCCCCGGGACGGTGCACGGCACAGCCCGTGGGAGCAGAGGTGAACCGTCGGGCTGGGCGGCTCGGCGAAGCAGCGAAGCCCTGGGGATGCGTCGCCGCGCTCTGGGTACCACCCGGCTGTCCTGGAACTGTGCTACGGCACCGGGAGGAACCACCGCCCCAAGCGCCCAGCGCCCGGCTCTGGTGACCTACCGAGGCCAAGGCTGCGATGTGCCGCGGGATAGGCATTTCCCCGTGCGGTGCATCGACCTGGGAATGTCCTCCTTGCCCTGAGCTAGAAACAAAGAGGTTGGGGAGAAGGGGACTCCGAGCCTCAGGCATCCACTGGCAGTTGTTGCACCTGTCAGCGCGGCGACCGCGGCTCCCCCTGACCTTTGTGAGCAGGGTAGAGCTGGGCCAGCCCACGGCCGCGGGGACGAGGGAGAGAGGACGGAGACATTCTGGGGCAGACAGGAGGCTGAGCGAAAGTGAGCTCGCCCCCGGACTGTCACACCTGGTGCTGAGACCCTGCCTCGCCGCCCGGGCCCCGGGGACGCCTCTGCCCCAGCCCGGCGACCCACCTCCACCATCCCTCGGCGAAGAACAGCTGGTGCCTGCTGCCGAGTGAGGATGAAAAGTTCTCCCAGGGAAGCGTGGATACTTTTAATTACAAATGTGAAGCACTCAGGGCCAGGCGATCCCAGGTCTGGGAGAGGGGCGGCAGACACTCGTCCGTTCCCGCGCTCCGCCGTGCTCTGCTCGGCACCCCG